TGGACTCTTTCCAATGAGCAAGAAGTTGTTCAATTTTCATTAAAATATTTCTCTGCTGAGATCTCATAGTATAATAGCAACCAATCCCAACAAGCAAAAATAATTGCCAAATTGGTGAAATCAGTAGGTAGAACTTACCTCATTTAAATGCTCATAAAGTTATTTTAAATGTTAACATTCAACAAAACTGTTATTTTGGAGATGATTTTATGTATTTTTAACACAGTATAGATTCAAGGATACAGAACATTCTTATACCCCTTCAGAAATCCCTAATGCTGTGTCCCTACCCCAGCCCTTGGCAACCACTGATCTGTTCTCCTTCACTATAATTTTGTTTCTTGGAGAATATTATATAAATGGGATCATACAGTATGTCACCCTCTGAGACTACCTTCCTTCAATCAGTGTAACACCTTTTGTGATTCATCCAAGTTGCTTTCTGTATCCATTGTTCATTCTTTTTCATTACTAAGGACTATTCCATTGTATGGATGGACCACAGTTTATCCAAACCAGTTCAAGGATTTGGAGGTTAATTTTCATTTTTACCAAGTCTGAATAGAGCCACTGTAAACATTGGTATACAAGTTTTTGTATGACTGTGTGTTCATTTTTCTAGAGTAAGTACCTAAGGCTTCCTAGGTCATGTGAGACATGTATGTTTAATTTTATAAGAAAATTCTAAGCTGTTCTCCAGAGGGGTTTATGTGCTCACCAGCAATGAAGAAGGGTTTCATTTGCTCTGTAATTTCACTGTACTTGGTTTTGTCAGCATTTTTTATTTTAACCATCTTCATAGGTGTGTAGTGGTATCTCACTGTAGTTTTAATTTGCATTTCCATAATGACTAAAGATGCTGAGCCACTTTTTATGTGCCTATTTATCATCTGTGGGATCTCTTTGGTGAAGTGTCTATTCAAGTCTTTTGCCTATTTTTTTCTCACTGTTGAATTTTAAAAGTTCTTTGTATGTCTCAGTCAACAAGGAGAGACAAAAAAGATATGCACACATACCCATCAGTACTCCTAACAAGCAATATGGATCCTGCATTAGGAGCATAAAGCATCGTGTTTTTCATTTTAGGAGGATAGGAATGTGAGAAAAGAATATTTGCAAGTTGTTCTTGTCCCACAGTTTGATTTCTTCATAGAGTTATGCCTAGGATGTTTATTTTAAAAGACTTACACCATGTTTTCTTCATAGGAGCTTAGTTGTTTTAGATGTACATAGGCAAGTATTAATACTTCTGGTTAACAGATATTTAATACCTATTATTGTCTCTCAGAAGTGCCATAGACATACTTGAAAATATTTCTATGTATGAAACATTATTTGTTAACTTAGGAAGTTGACAGAATCTACATTTAGGACCAAGACAGAATTATATCCAGTAAGCAGTCTTCCATTTCAAAAGCCACTTACTATTATCTGAATATTCTGATGTTTTCATATTTCCATGTTTTTGTTTCCATTGTTTCCTTTACCTGGAATGTCATTCTTCTTGCTTTTCTACCTGGTGAATTTTTTTTTTTTTTTTTTTTTTGAGACAGAGCCTCAAGCTTTCCTCCTGGGTAGAGTGCTGTGGCATCACAGCTCACAGCAACCTCCAACTCCTGGGCTCAAGCGAGTCTCCTGCCTCAGCCTCCCAAGTAGCTGGGACCACAGGCGCCCGCCACAATGCCTGGCTATTTTTTGGTTGCAGCCATCATTGTTGTTTGGCAGGCCCGGGCTGGATTCGAACCCACCACCTTAGGTGTATGTGGCTGGCGCCTTAGCTGCTTGAGCCACAGGTGCCGAGCCCCTGGTGAATATTTTTATCCTTCATGGCCCAGCCCTGCTTGATAACTGTTTTCTCAAATGCAATTAATATTCTCTTCTCTGTGTTCCCATCGTTTTGTATATTTTTCAAATACATAAATTATTAAATTATTTTAGAAATTTGTAAAAATGTGTTTTCTCTACTAGACAGAGAGGTTCTTAAGGGGAGTTGTGTGAATCAGTCATCTTTATATCCCCAGCAACTAATTTAATGCATGCTTCATAGGATATCTGTTTACCTATTTATTCATTAATTTACCAAATATTTATCGAGTCCCTACTGCCAGTGAGGCACAGAAGGGTAGCGCAGTCATACTATACATTGCTATCATAATTCTGTGTAGCTTTGAAAAGTTATACAGAGATAACATCTCTTAAAATGTATATGTATATATATTTCTTTGCCACGTATATTTTTTGTCAATTAAAAAAATAATAACTAGTTAATGTATACTTCATGTAAAATATTGAAATCTTGTACCCTTATAGATCCATATTTATCCCATCTTTTATATTATGGTAGTCATATGTATTACCTATTCATACATTAAAAGCCCTATAAAATAATTTTTTTCTTAAATAGTTTAAAGGTTTATAAGAACAGTAAGAGGAAAAGGCAAGAAGTAAAAAAATCAGTCTTTGAATTTGTTCAGATATTTATTATTTCCAATGCTCTTTGTTTTTTTCTGAGGGTCTGAGCTTGTATCTTATACAATTTCTCTTTAGTACAAATCTTCAGGTGATGAATTATTTCAGTTTTTGTTGTACTAAAAATATCTTTATTTTTCTTTTCATTCTTGGAAGATATTTTGCTGGATATAGAATTCTGGGTTAAATTTTTCCTCATTCAGTACTTAAATATTGTTTTACTGTCTTCTGGTTTCCATGATTTATGATGAGACGCCTCAGGGGAAGCTGCTGGGTGCTGTGGCTCACATCTATAATCTCAGCACTAAGAGAGGCTGAGGCGAGTGGATTGCCCGAGCTCAGAGGTTCAAGACCAGCCTGAGCCAGAGTGAGACCTTGTCTCTAAAAATAGCTGGGGGTTATGGCAGGCACCTGTAGTCCCACCTACTTGGGAGGCGGAGACAAGAGAATCTCTTGAGCCCAAAAGTTTGAGGTTGCTGTGAGCTAAAACAACATGGCACTTTACCAAGGGTGACAAAGTGAGAAATTCTAAAACTAAACAATTCCTGTAATAAAAATTCACTGAATGGACTTAGCCAGATGCATAAAATGTAGACTAATTTCTCATTTCTCTACTGAAAGTGTCATTCATTGAAGAAATGTTTATTTATTGAGGGTACTTGTAATATCCATTTTAAATTCCTCCTTTGTTCCTATATTTAGTTCATTTTCAAGTTAGACTCAGTTTTCATTTGAGAATGTGTTTTATTTCTTGATTCTTAGTATGCTGAGTAATTTTTAATTGTATCCTGGACATAATATTAAGTTGTGGAGATTGTGTATTCTGTTATTTTTCTCTTAGGAGAGTTGTTTCTTTTGTTTTGGTAAGTGCCGTTCTTGGCTGGGCTTGCATTGCACACTTTGTTTCTTGGTCAGCAGCTCCAATCTCACTTCTTGTCTTTTGTATTTAGCTAGAGTGCCTAAGTCTGTTCTGAGCATGGGCCATTCAGAGACGGGAGTAGACAGGAGTTTAGAGAACCCTCTCTTGCTTTTTCCCTTCAGGATTTTCCTACTTTCATCACCATTTAGTCTCCTAACTTTACTTTATTTGGTATCTTAAGACAAAAAGCCTTCAGAGTTTCTCACTTGTACCCTAACACTACCTTGTGCATCACTTAGCCCCAGGCTAAAAAAGAGAATTTACTTGTCTAGCTCTCCGTCTGTCCTCTTCCAAGTGAATATGAGCTCCCCACTAGGCTGAGTGTGAGGTCCTAGCAGAGCCCAAGTGTGAACTCCCACCAGAGCCCAAGTATGAACTCCCACCAGAGCCCAAGTGTGAACTCCCACCAGAGCCCAAGTATGAACTCCCTATCAGTCCGAGTGTAAGCTCCTGCTAGAGCCCCAGCATGAGCTCCTACCAGAGCCCTAGCGGAAGGTCTTACTCAAGCCCACGGATGAGCTCCTGCCAGAGCTCAGGTATGAGCTGAGCATAAGCTCCTACCAGAACCCAAGTGTGAGCTCCACACTGAAGTCTTCATGCTTCTGTTTACTCTCTAGTACCTTCAGGGAGTTGGTTTTTGTCTTATTTCTAGGCTTACTAATTATTTTGGCATAGGAGATGCTGCCTGGTAGGGTCTGCTATGCCTGGAAACAGAAGTGACTCCAGGATGCTTACATTTCATTTGAGAGAGGTAAACAAAAACCAAGAAGACGGTTATAGTTTATAGTACAGGCTGTGAAATAAAAAAGGTTGATAAGATAGAAAGCAACAACTTTAGATAAAGCTTTTAGGAAGTTCTTCAAAAAGAACTCCTATTTTTGAGTCAAGACCTAAAGAACAAGACAAATTTGGTCATAATGAAAGCTGGCTGAGAAATGATTAAGCAAAGGCAATAGCAGATACAAAAGCCCTAAAGTGGGAGAGAGGTGCTGGTATGGAGCACAGTGAAGGGAAGAAAGCATGGTGTGCAATGAGGCTGGAGAGACAGGGACAATCATTGAGAGCCTCGTAGATCCCAAAAGGAGTTGGGAGCTATAATTCTGTATAAGAAAATATGATTGCCGTAGCTATAAGCATAGCTTAGTGAACAGATCTGACTACTCATGCTGCTTTGTCCTTAAAAGCTTTGACTGATGGATAGTGTGGCCTTGTGACTATATGACCTTTCAACTAGCATCGTTAGCACAAAAACTAGAAGACCCTGCAGAATGGATTTTTGCAATCTATGGGAAGTTGACACTGACATTCTAATATCTCTTCTGTCTCTGACATTCTCTGATATTGTAGAAAACAAGTTGGCCTGCGTGTGGAATAATATAATACAAATTAAGACCACAGTTTACAAGTGAAAAGCACAAATGTGCAAAACGAAAAGACTATAATAGAATGTTGAGGTGTAGTTCTTTGTAGCAAAAGATTTCACATTATTTCTGCATAAGAGCAGTGGTCTTCAATTTGTAAATTTTATTATGTTAAAGCAATATGCTATGTTTATAGATCTTATTTCTCTGGGGAGCATTTAAAACTCACCTGATCTTTTCCTTTGGCCTAGATGACAGCGCTTCTGCTGCAAGTAGCATGGAGGTAACAGACCGCATTGCCTCACTGGAACAGCGAGTCCAGATGCAAGAAGATGACATCCAGCTGCTCAAATCAGCTCTAGCTGATGTGGTTCGGCGGCTGAATATTACTGAGGAACAGCAGGCCATGCTTAACAGGAAAGGACCTACCAAAGGTGGGTGTTCTCCATGTACAGGAACAATAATAGAATTGGTCTCATTGAAGATTCTTGCTCTAGCAAAAGCATTGTACTCTTTAATATTCACAGAGAATCAAAACTTAGACCAACAATAAAATAATCAACACTGTCATAATAATCATATAAAGTGTGATAATATATTCTGACTTGATATTGGTGAATCATAGCCCAGTGGTAGTATACATTTGTAGGTGATCATTAGTGCTTGTTGAATCGAGGAAAGAAGGAACTGTCTCAAGGAACTGTTGAGAACAATTGTTTATGAAGATTCTCTGGGACAGAGGAGCCTGCAAAAAGAACCACCATCCTTTAGGCTCTTTTTGGAGGCTGTTCCTCCTAGAAGCTTTTCTGAAAACTCATGACAGAACTCAGCGTGTTCATCAGTTTTGCACAGCAACACATAATCATATGCCACGTGTGAGGCTCTGAGCCTAGGACTGGGACACAGAGGCGGTGGGCCTTCTTGGAGAAGCTCAGAATCCTAAAGTTATCACTAACTTTTCTCTTCTTGTAGCTGGTAAGTACTGTCCTCCTGTACAAAATCTCCTGTTTACTGTGAATCTCCTCTGCTGTCTATGAGGATGTAACCTGCTACAGAGATCTATCTATACCTAGTGGGTTTTGGGCAAATTGAGCTCAACATTTCATGTCCCTGTGTCTTCTGGGAATGAAATGTCAAAAAGCAATATTTGTGTTAAGTTAACTTTGTAGTTGACCTTCTTTCTTAAAATTTTAGAAATGAAACACCTCACAAAACTTTCTGTCCCACCTCTTGGTGCTCTGGTGTGCGTCTTTTGCCCAAAGCACTTTTCTTTGTTGCTCTCTTTAGAAAAGAGACTTCATCTTGACCGTAAAATTCCTTTGGTTACATTTTGAGATTATGACATGTAAATGTCTCTTTAAAAATACCTTTCATTTTTTATTCGGATTTAACAAAGTATTTCATAGTTGGTGTATTTTCCTTGGAGTTAGGAAAGAGGACTGCATCTTTTAGTTTTTTCTCTAGTACTTGGCTACATTTTCACATGTCTGTGGGAAGAAGTCTATTTCTTTGTCCTTCTGGGTAGTTGTCACCAGCTCCATGTGAGATAGATACCTGTGCTGGACTGATGTCTACATTCTGAATAATCCTTTTAAGTAATCTTTTCCACCTTTGTTACAAAGCGATTAGGGTATTTTAAATAGAAAGCAGGTTATTTTAGGTATTCTTGACCTACTCAGCCTTCCCAAAATAAATCTGATGACTACTGTATCCTAAAGGGCACATGTGAAATAGTTGCTTTATATAAAACTTCAGGCTTCTAAAATACCTTTATCTTTAGAAAATTAGGGGAAAAAATAATGTAAAGAGTTTGCCCAGGAGTTTTATTCTCTTGGTTAAGAGTGAAGTTTAATTTTTATAAAACTCCTAAGAGAAATAAAATATTTCATAGTTATCTGATATTTTCTTATAACATTCTTCTCATAAATGAAAATAAATCAAATTATGATAGCCAGAAGGTCACACCAAAAAATAGAAAAAAAGATTTACAAGAAAGCAGGTGAGTGGGTGGTATCCCCTGAATAGAAGTGGCCGTGGTCTCCTTGCTTTCTTTGCAGCTAGTTAGAGGACAGTGAGGAGGAGGGAGAGTAATTTGCATCAGCAGCTCTGGGACGCTGCTTTCTCTTTCAGAACTGCTGTGTTGGTTCTGATTGCTGTGACTATGGATAGCTGGCCCTCTGTAGTCATGGCTGGACTAGGAGATCTTTTAGGCAAAACTCCTTTGTTTAAGTGGCCTCATCATCATCCTCATGATATTATTATTCTTGTTGTGGTGGTGGTGGTTGTTGTTATTTCACAGTATTTTGGCTTGCCATCCTAATCTACACTTGAAGTAGCCTAAACACATGATACTCTTCTTTTTAAATATTAAGTGACCCCCCCCACAGTTAGTTTTCAGAAACTTAGGGCTCAGTCTTTTGAGTTTCACACATACAGCTTTGTGCTGTTTGCCAGTGACAGAGAAGGCTGCGCCACGAACAAACAGGCTACCTTGAAAGGCAGTGAGTCCTCCAAGTGCTCAGTGTGGTTCAGCTGAAAGTAAGTGCACGATGAGTTTGTGACTTGGTGCTATGGTTGTCCCTAATTGTTAGACTGCAGTTGACACTTGCTATCCTTATGACGGCCTGTGAGACCAAAGATAATAATTCCAATTCCTTTCCACAGCAGTACGTCACTTATTTGAAGAAAGTTGTCATGACTCCTGAGCTTTCACTGACTTTGCCATTCTTCATATGACTTGACTAGTATAACAATGAGAACTGCAGTTTCATGAAAACAATTCACTAACAGACTGAGTTCAGGGTTTCCTGAGACAGGGAAAGATTGTAGCCCGCTTCATAATGTGCTGGGCTTCCTGAGACTTATAGTCTATATAAAGGGATCTATTTTGCAGACCCTGCTTTTTTTTGGCAATGCTTTCCTGTCCCTGAGATTGGCCTATTTGCATCCATTATCCAACTCTTCTTTACCCAGTGGCTACTGCCTGGACTTAGACTTTACTCAGTCTCTACGTAAGCCCCCCATCTTTGCTTTCTCCCTTTCCTTTGGTGTTTTTTAAAATATTAAGAATGAGTTTCCATGTCATACCTCCACATTGTGGAGAATCTCACCCTGCAAATTTCTCTTTGTGCATTTTGGATTTACTTTCAGATAGAATGATTTGGAATGTTTCTGTTTTGCTGAGCTTGGATTACCATATACTGAAGAAGAGAGACTCAAAGGGCTTATGGAGACATACTTTCTTAAAATTCCTGCTGTTGGCTCAGCGCCTGTGGCTCAAGTGGCTAAGGCGCCAGCCATGTACACCCAAGGTGGCGGGTTCAAATCCAGCCCAGGCCTGCCAAACAACAATGACGGCTGCAACCAAAAAAAAATAGCCAGACGTTGTGGCGGGCGCCTGTGGTCCCAGCTACTTGGGAGGCAGAGGCAGGAGACTCGCTTGAGCCCAGGAGTTGGAGGTTGC